CGAGTCCTGCCATGGCGCTGCCGCCACTGCTGACACCTTCGCAGCCTCAGCCTGCCTCCACCTCTCGCCTCTGACGCCGCAGGAAGCTGCCACCCTCCTTTTATCTTCTGGGTAGGATTCCACTGTATGGAATGGGCCACATTTGTCCCTAGATGGAAATTTAAATTGTTTCCACTATTTTGTTATTGCAAACTGTGCTGCCATAACTATCCTTGCACACGTATCCCTGGGCCCCTTGCAAGAGTTTCCACAGGCTATATTCCCAGAATGGTTCTTGTTGGGCCTGGAAATACATTGCCACCAAACATGGCCATAGCAGTGGCCTTCCTCCAGAGCCTCTCCTAGTTTTCCAGGATTTAGTGTTGTCAGCATTTTTAACTTTTGCCAGTATGATAGCTGTGAAAGGAGATATTGTTTTAACTTCATTTCTCTATTACTGAGGTTGGACACTTTTTATGTGTTTATTGGTCATTTGCATTTCCTGTCCATTCATTTCCTTTGCCTACTGTGTTTTTTTTCCTCTTTCCCTAGAATTCAATTGTTGGTCTATCATGTGTGTTGCAAATATTTTCTCCATGTATCTACTTATTTAAAAAATAGGGGGTTCTTTTGACAGACAGAACTTTTAAATTCCGATGGGGTCTAGCATGTCAATTTTTTTTTATGACTTCTGCCTTCTACATTTTTAAGGAAGGGTTTCTCCACCCCCAAGATAATAGAGATGTTCTCCTATATTTTCTTCTTGTAATTTAAAAGTATTAAAAAAACTTTAAGCTGTTAATATATCTGCAAATGATCTTTGTGTATTGTATGAAATAGGGGCCCAAATGAATTGTTTTCCTTATGGTTAGCACTATTTATTGTACAGTTTATTCTTCCCGCACCAATGCTACCTTTAACATATATGAACATTTCATAATTATCTGGCTCTTTTCTGGATTGCATTCTGTTCTGTTCCTACTCCCAATAACCCTCTGTTTTAATAACTATGGCTTTATAATATGTCTTTTTTTTAAGAAAAGTATCTCCATTTTTATTTTGGGATTATGTGATTAAATAGTTTTTTGTTTTTCTGTTTGTTTGTTGTTGTTTTTTTTTTGCAGTATGCGGGCCTCTCACTGTTGTGGCCTCTCCCGTTGCGGAGCACAGGCTCCGGACGCGCAGGCTCAGTGGCCATGGCTCACAGGCCCAGCCGCTCCGTGGCATGTGGGATCTTCCCGGACCCGGGCACGAACCCGTGTCCCCTGCATCGGCAGGCAGACTCTCAACCACTGCGTCACCAGGGAAGCCCAATAGTCATTTTTTAAATTAATTTTTATTTGAGTATGGTTGCTTTACAACGTTGTGTTAGCCTCCACTACACAACAAAATGCATCAGCCGTACACATACAGATATCCCCTCCCTTTTGGACTTCCCTCACATTTAGGTTACCACAGTGCATTAGGTAGAGTTCCTTGTGCTATACAGTATGTTCCCATCAGTTGTCTATTTTATACATAGTATCAATAATATAATATGTCTTAATATTCATTAGAAAATATGGCCCACTCTTTGTTGTTATTTCTTAAAATTTTGTTGACTAGCTGTTCTTCCATATTTGCTCTTTCAGAATCACTTTATTTCATTTCACAAAAAAACCTTGTTAGGATTTTTGATCACTATTTTTAAAAAATGTCAAAACCCACCAGATTGTATACTGCTACTTTTTCCTAAAGCCTTCACAATGTATTATTTAGCTTTTCCTCTGTATTATTTCTGTTAAAGAGCAAGGCAGACACAGGTCTTGGGTCTATACAATTTGGGAGCTCTCTTTAAAAAAAATAATACAAAATTAGGAATGCAATAGTGGGTGCTGTGCCTTGGAAGGAACCTGGACCTCCAGCTTTATTTGCTTCATGGTAACCCCAGGGTAGCAGTCTGACTGAGAGAGGAAGTGCTACTAAACGATGCCTTCGCTCCCACTAGAATAAAGCCCTAGTTCGTGACTACCAAGCTACTTAGGTGGTGTAAGCAATAAAATAACAGTTAAGGGGCTTCCCTGGTGGCGCAGTGGTTGAGAGTCCGCCTGCCGGTGCAGGGGACATGGGTTCGTGCCCCGGTCCGGGAAGATCCCACATGCTGCGGAGCGGCTGGGCCCGTGAGCCATGGCCGCTGGGCCTGCGCGTCCGGAGCCTGTGCTCCACAACGGGAGAGGCCACAACAGTGAGAGGCCCACGTACCGCAAATAAAAAAAAAAAAAACACTTAAATTTGCAACCTCAGTCGTGTTTCTAGCTGTGTGTTATATAATACCGCTGCCTTGAGTTTTTGCTAGGACAGCACCTCACATCTGAGGATCTCAGGGCACATTAAGAACATTAATTAATTAATTAAACCCCACAAAACCCCAGAGACACAGGAAGGAGGGACGTGGCATCACCTTGCCCAGTTCTGAAATGCAGCCACCTCTGGGGACAAGCAGGGCAGCTGCTTCTTAATAAATGGCAGCGCCCACGACACTTTAGCCCAAACAGTTAGTCGTTGTCGTTGGTAATTGTCTTGTGAACATCAGCCTGTCAGACGGTGAGGGCTCCAGGATGAACTGTTCACTGCAAATCTAATTCAGTCTCTGAAATTTCTGGCTTTTTAGTAATTTTGTCCTAATCATAAAGTATATTAAATACATAAACAACAAGGACCTACTGTATAGCCCTGGAAGTTATACTCAGTATTTTGTAATAACCTATAATGGAAAAGAATCTGAAAAAGAATATATATATACACACACACATATACATACATATATACATAAAACTGAATCACTTTGCTGTACACCTGAAACTAACACAACATTACAAATCAACTATACTTCAATAAAATAAATAAATTCCCAGGGAAAGTCTAGTTTTCTTTTAAACTCAACAGTGTTTTTGGTAGTTCTTCAAATTTAAAACTTAATATAAGAAAAGATTATTTTTAAAAAAGTGCAACTTAATAGGGAGTTATTGATAACGTTTGTTTGTTTGTTTTTGATTCAAATACTTTGCTGCTGAGCAAAACGAATCAGTGATGGTAGAAGTCAGGCCAGCAGCTACCTTTAAGAGGTGTGTTGGCCGGACAGCAGGTGAGGGAAACTTTTGGGCCCTGGAAAAGCTTTAATATTCATTTAAGGGGTTGTTAACGTGCGGTACATACAGGTAGAGATTCATGCACTGTGCCGTATACATGTTGTGTCCTTCTTTTTTTTTTTTGCGGTACACGGGCCTCTCACTGTTGTGGCCTCTCCCATTGCGGAGCACAGGCTCTGGATGCGCAGGCTCAGTGGCCATGGCTCTCGGGCCCAGCCGCTCTGTGGCATGTTGGATCTTCCTGGACCGGGGCACGAACCCGTGTCCCCTGCATCGGCAGGTGGACTCTCAACCACTGTGCCACCAGGGAAGCCCTACATGTTGTATCTTAATAACAAGCTGCATTAACCTGAAAAGCACTCTAGTTTGCTGTTGTGAGAACACTGGAAACACTGTACAAACGATCTGGAAAGTTTTGCAGGGAGCAGGACGTATCCAGGTGCTAGAGACTCGCTAGGTTTCATTCTCCCCAAAGTGTCTTTCTTCAGAAGAGCGATTCTGAGTGCTTTGTCCCCTCTCGTGTCATTTGCTCTCCACCCAGAAGAGCTACTTGCTCTGCTGGGGTGCCATTCTCTCATTGTACCTTCAACGTTATATGCCTCTTCGTCTCTGCCCTTTACACCTCCCTGGGCATCTGATTCTTCTCTTAGAATTTCATTCTACTTCATTTGCCTGCATCTTTTCCAGAAGCAGGTATAGGGCATGAGTAAGTGGGAATTTGGGGTTGAGAGGCGTCTGCAGGGGCCGTTGCACTGGCTGTTGCTGCAGGAACGAATGCAGTGGGAGAGGAGGATGCGGAGAGGATAGGCTGCCTCTGACGCCACCACGTCTGCTGTGATGCTTAGAAACAAGAAGACAGGGCAGCAGGCTACGCTGGCAGCCCAGTATGTGGGGCCTCCAGCAGGTCCTGGGTCCCTCCTGTATATGTGCGGACAATTCTGAGGAGGGGCAGCCCCTGGGCAAAAGCATCCTAGGGCTGCTCTGAGCTAAGGCCGAAAGGCTGCAAGCAGGTGTGAGGGCTAAGAGTCCCAGTGGAGCAGACACAGAGTGAACAAGAAAGGAGGGGCCGGGGGTGGTGAGAGAGCGGGGGAGGGTGGGAGGGAGAGAGGGAGACAGTGGAAGAGGAGGGGGGTGGTGGTGGGGAGAAAGACAGGAACAAGGAAAAGAAAAGACAGCAGAAGGAGAAGGAAGAAAGGGAGGGGCAAAAGAACTTTTCAGACAAAATGGGAAAAAAGTTTTTTCTACTTTAGTTTTTGGTGAACGGTAAATATATGAACACTACCCCGATTATTGACTTTCCAGAATATATTAAAACAATAATGCAAAGTTAGCTCCAGGTCTTGCTTAGAAAGTAGAAAAGTTAACATCGTGGCCTCTGTCAGATGCCTGTTCACAGTATTTCCCAGCACGGGGAAAGCAGCCCTTGTGCTAATCTCTGTGTTCTGAGAGCACTGACATAGCCGATTGTGGTCTTTTCCATATTCTGCCTTAAAATCATTTCAAAGCCTGCCATCCAGGAGGTTGATAATCAGTTGTTTACAAACTTCAAAGGGGCTCCCATGAAAGGATCACGGAGCTCGGTCTCTGGCAGGTTCGAGGGCCTCCTGGGGGGCAGCCCAGCCCAGCCCCATCCTGGCCTCGGTTTATGTCCACAGCTCCGTCGGGCCAGGTATCACTGGACCCCCATCCTGTGCGGATGGAGGCACAGAGAGGTCAGAATCCGAGTGGGCTGCGAAGACCCTGTTCTCCCCACCTCGCGGCTCTGCCCTCAGCAATATAATCCTTCAGATATGCTGCAGCTTAGAAACACGTGACCACGCTGCCTCCCATTTCCTGTGCTCTGCAGATGTTTACCATCTCTTTTCTGTCCTCTTGTCCCTTTTTCTCTGAAAGGCGCCGAGCTCAGGTGCAGCAGCCAGGAATGCCAGCAAATAGTCAAGGAGCCGCAGGAAGCTGTCTCCCCGGAGGCCGGGGAGAGCATCCAGGTAACGGAGATCATCCCCCCAGCCTGGTGCTGCTTATGCCGTCGGGGTCAGAGGTGTTCCTGGCACTGGAGTCACTCCCGAGAAGGGAAAGGTCTCACTGACGTTAAGATCTGGGGGACAAGGGCGGGGAGGAAACAGGCTGCGTGTTTGTAACAAATCAGCCTCACAGCACCTTCAAGAATCCAGCTCAGGATGGAGCCCCATCCCTTCTCCCCCTGCCTTCTCACTCATCCCCTGGCTTCAGGAGGCTGATGTGGATAAAGCAGCTCGCTTAAAGGCAGTTAGAAAGCTCACCTTGTCCACAGACTCAAATGAGGCAGCATTTTCCTTCCTGACCCACTGGGCCCTGCAGGCTCTAGAACCACCTGCCACAGCTCCCTGGATTGCGCCTGGCCCACTGGCCCAGCCTGGCTTCAGCAGGGGCCCCTCTCACACCCTCCTGCTCTGTGAGTGCTGCCACCCTGACCTAAAGGGGGGCATACCCCCACTGAAGGAGACCACAGTCAGCCATGTAATAGAGGACATAGGATTTGGGGGATGGGCCTGGGGATCCAGCCATTGTTCCATCTCTGCCACCCTCTGACCACTGATGGTTCACAGAAATACAAACGCCCATATTGACTGGGCTCTGGGTCCTCACCTGCTCCTGCAGGACCTCAGGGCATGTCCCTTGTTTCCTCTGGAACTGGCCTCACCAAGGGGGCTGGGAGAATGAACGGGCTTACCTCTAGGCCACCGTTGGCGGCCTGGCCCTGCATCAGCACTGCGTGTGGCCAGGAGTCCCAGCACGCGTTTCACTGCATGGGCCCTTCTGCTTCTGGTCCTCCTGACTGTTCCGTCCACCTGAGGCCAGGACGGGGGCTGGTGCAGTGCCATTGCTTCTTGGACTCCAGCCCCCAGCTCTTCTTTTTTTCTCCTTTCCAATCTTGGACAAAATAACATTCCCCCTGCCCATCAGCTCATACAAAGAAGATCTTGGGAAGAAGAGGAGTCAGGGAACACCTTTATCTTAGCATTAGGCCACATGGCTCGTCCTGCTGCATTTTCACATTGTCTCTATGGAAAATGCCTTCTTATACCCCAAACCACAAAAGGACCCAACCTGTAGCTGGGTGGCTGTTGTATTTCGAGGGCTGATTTATTCTCTGCACAGAGGTTGGACGCTCACAATGGCCAGGCTCTCTGCTAGGTGCTGAGGGCGCTCGCGAGACCAAAACACAGCCACAGCCTTCAGGAGGTGGTGCACGGTGGGAAGAGGAAAGCCTCCTAATTCAGTATGTGGAAATGAGGGTGGAAAACATCCCAGAAGAGGGCACGAGGGACACCTGAAGCTTTTAAAGAAGGTTGTTTGGCATGGACTAGATTGCGGGAAATGAAGCTGATGAATGGAATTAATAGAAAGAACTTAGCGTGAGGGATTTCTGCTTCTGGCAAAGATGGCTAGATTTACTTTCCTGCCTGAAAAACAACAAAAAAATGGCCAAAGTATATGAAATAAGTTTTTAAGACACTTCTCATCAGGTGACAAAGGAGAGTGATGCCTGGGAGGTGGGAAACAAGCCAGGTAAGCCCTCCAAACATCGTGGCCTCCTCCTTTGAGAGAGTCCCTGACCACAGCACAGGGCAGGAGGAACCACAGAAGCCAAGTGGTATGTCCATGGAGACTAAAGCCACTAAGTTTTGCAGGACAGAGTACCAGAGAGGAGAGTGCTGTACAGAGAGATGGTTGACACCAGCGAGGGTCACTCTTGGGTATTCAGCTGAGTACTGATCTGCACATGCTGAGTACTGATGTGCACATGCACATCAGCCTGATCTTCAAAACTACTGAAGATCAGGCTGAGGAAAGAACTTCCTAAAAGGATTAGCATTAACAGTGCACAGAGCTCATGCAAGGCTTGGAATAGTGCGTGTTCCGTCAGCCAGACCAGGGAACCCTGTGACTCACAAGGCATTGGGAGAATGCACAGAAGGGTACTGCATCAGTAGCGAGGAATAATTAGCCCTGGAGAGAGCACTGCTCCAGTCCTACCTAACAAACCTTTAGAGCAAGATCCAAAAGCAACAAACTGCTTCCAAGTAATTTGAGTCCCAGAACAAAGTTCAAGAATATTTGTAGGAATACAAAATTATCCAGCACCCAAGTAGATTAAATCACAATGTTTAGAATTTTTTTTTCTTAAAGACATAATGCTTTTGCACACTTAATGTCCTACAGTATAGTATAACATAACTTTTATATGTACTGGGAAACCAAAAATTCACATGACTTGCTTTATTGCAATATTCACTTTATTGTGGTGAATGAATCTGGAATATGAACCTGCAATACCTCCAACGTATGCCTGTAAAAACACCCCAAATAAACCTTCTAGAGATTAAAACTACAATTCATGAGATGAAAAATACACTGGAAGGCTTAACCACAGATTAGACATTGCAGAGAAAGGGATTAGTGAAACAGAAATGAGAATTAAAAAAAAAAAATGTATCAGTGAGCTGTGGGATAACTTTAAGTACCTAATATGTGTGTAATTGGAATTCATAAAGAAGAGGAGAAAGAGGTTGGAACAGAAAAAATATTTGAAAAAATAATGACTTAAAAATTCCAAATTTTATGAAAACAGTAAACCCACAGACACAAGCTCAACCAATAACAAGCACAAGAAACATGAAGAAAACTATACCAAACCCATCATAATCAAATAGTGGAAAACCAGTCATAAAAAGAAAATCTTAAAAGTACCCAGAGGGAGAAAAAAAAAGGACAAGTTGGGAACAGAGGCCCAAAGATAAGGATGGCAGCAGATTTCTTGTTGGAAACAATGTGAGCAAAAAAGACGGTGGAGTCACATCTTTAAGGAACTGGAAGAAAATAAACTGTCAACTGAGAATTTTACACCCATTGAATATCTTTCAAAAATAAAGGTGAAATAAAGACTCTGCCTATGCAGAAAAGGGGAAAGAATTCATTACCAGTAGACCCAACTACAAGAAATGTGAAAGGAAGTCCTTCAGGCAGAAGGAAAATGATGCCAGATGGAAATCTGGATCTACACAGAGGGCGATGAACACTGGAAGTGGTAACTAAATGGGTAAATGTGTAAGATTTTGCTTTTATTATTTATATCTCTTTAAAAGATAGTTGACGGCCTAAATAAAATAAAAACAACATAGTGTGGAGCTTTCAACATGTGTAAAAACATCTGACAAGAACAGCACAAAGGCCAGAGGGCACAATGTAAGGACCCTATTTTAGGGTCCTTATACTACACCTGAAGTGATATTATATCACCTGAAGATAGACTTAAAGATGTATACTATAAACTAAAAGAACATGAAAGTTACAAGTCAAATTCAGAAAGTTATATCTAATAAGCCTACAAAGAGGTGAAGTGGAATCATAAAAGTATACAATGACTCCAAAAGAAGGCAAAAAGAGAGGAAAAGGGGAATAAAGAACAGATAGGACAAATAGAAAACAAACAGCAAGATAACAGACTTAAACCTAACCACATCAATAATTACATTAAATGTAAAATGGTCTAAATATCCCAATTAAAGAATGTATAAATCAGATATAGTTTGGATTAAAAAGCAAAACAGTTACATGTGAATTATCAAAAAAAAAATGCACTTTGAGTAGATACAATAGGTTCAGATGAAAAACATGCAAATAGATACATCATGGTAACACTAATCAAAAGAAAGCTGGAGTAGCTTTATTCATTTCAGACAAAGTGGATTTCAGAAAAGGGAATATTACCAGGGATAACAAAGGTCAAGAGGACATAACAATCCTAAATATTTATGCACCTAATAGTAGAACTTCAAAACACATGAAGCAAAAATTGATAGAACTGCAAAGACAAATAAATAAATAAACAAACAACTATATTTGGAGATTTCAATATCCCTCCCTTAATCATTGATAGAACGAGTAGACAGTAAATCAGTAAGAATGTAGAAGATTTTAAGAATACTATTGACCAATTTGACCTAACTCTACCCAACAACGGCAGAATACACCTTCCCGCATCCACATGGAATAGTTACCAAGTTAGATCATATTTCAAGCTAGAAAAGAAGTCTCAATAAATTTAAAAGGATTCAGGTCATCTAAAGTATGTTCTTTCCCAACAAAAGACATCACAGGGAAATAAAACTTCAAATCAACAGCTCTCATAAACATCGATGGAAAAATTCAAATAAAACCTTTAATAAATTGAACCAGTATATTAAAAGGACAATGTCATGGTCAAGTAGGCTTTATTCTGAGAATGCAAGGTTGGTTTAACATAAGAAAATCAATGTAATTCACCACATTAACATTCTAAAAAAGAGTACTTATATGTTTATCTCATAAATGCAGGAAAGGTATCTGAAAATTCACATTCATTCCTCATAAAAACTCTCAGAAAATTAGGAGTAGAAGAGAACTTCTTCAATTTGATAGAGGTTATCGTTGAAAAACCTATAGCTAACATCATCCTTGGTAAAAGACTGAGTGCTTTTCCGCCAAGGTCAGAAACAAGACAAGAATGTCAGTTCTCACCACTTCTATTCAGAATTATTCTGGCGGTTCAAGCCAGTGAAAAAAGACAAAAAAAGAATCAAAAGAATATACACAAAATTAACATGCAAAGTTCAATTTTATCTCTGTATAATGGCAATGAACAATCAGAAATTTAAATAACTACCATTTACAACAGTACAAATACACAGAATACTTAAATCTGACAAAAGATGTTGTCAGATTTAAGTATTTTGTGTATGCTAAAAACTACAAAACATTTCTGAGAGAAATGAACTAAGACTTAAATAAATGGAGAGATATCCCCTGTACATAATTTCAAGGACTCGATATTGTCAAGTTGTTGATTGATCGATGAAATACCAGTCAAAATTTCAGGAGGAATTTTTAGAGAAATTGAAAAAGTGATTTCAAAATTCATGAGGAAGTGGGAAGGACCTAGCACAAAGAAACTATGGAAAGAGAACAAGGTTGTAGGTCTAATGCTACTGACTTCAAGATTTATTATAAGGTTTTTGTAACTGAGACAGTGTGGTAATGATGTCAAGGTCAACAAATAGATGAACGGAACAGAATAGAAGATCCAGAAATAGATCTTTCTGTTTATCTTTCGATTTATCTTTCTATTTCTAGATCTAGAAAGATCTAGATCTTTCTAGATACTCAGCATATAATCTACAGTGACAAAGAGCAGATCATTGTTTGCCTGCGGTTGGCAGAGTGGCCCCGGGTGGGAGGAAGAGCCATACAGAAACACAGAAGCTTTGGGGAGTGATGTATATGTTCATTATTTTTATCGTGGTGATATTTTTATAGGTACCTATAGGTCAAAACTTTTCAAAAGCTACACTTTAAATATATGCTGTTTACTGTATGTCAATTATACCTCAATAAAGCAGTTTTTAAAAAAGCCCTAGTGCATCTTTTAAGTTACACAGAAGAATAAGAATAAAGGAGGAATAACTAACATCTACAGAGAGTCAGAAGATGCTAAGCATCTCTCCATCCACCTGTCCTTATTTTATCCTCAGGACAACCTTATGAGATAGGTGCTGCTCTTAGCCCCTTTGTACAGATGAGGAAACTGGGGATCCCTCACTTTCCCAACGCCACATGCCCTGAAAGAAGGGAGGCCAGGATCTGACCCAGGCAGCTCATACAGAGCTCGAGCTCTGAACCACTGTGGGTGTTGATTTATTCTCATGTCTTGCCTTTGTCTTTTGCAGAGAAAAAGCACAGAAGAAGCCGCAATGGAGGAAGCTTTATCACCAGTCCAAAGTGGAAACGCTAGTGAAGCGGAGGTAGGGCTTGCGAGGGCCCTTCAGGGGGCCAGTGCGGCTCACTCCTCTCCACCTGCGTCTTCGTGCGCTTTCCTCGCCAGGCCTCCCGCCTTCTTTCCCAGTTCAGAGCCGCCTCCTTACTCAGGACCTGCTCCACAAAGCCTCCCTCGGTGAACTCTCACTCCACTGTCATGAGACCTTTATTCTATATCCCTTGCACAGCTTGGTCCTAGAAGTTACACTTTCTACATCAATAATTTGCAACCATTTCAGTAAATAGAATCTTTCTGTTCTTCCCATTGTCTAGAGAGAAAACATGTTGGAGGGGCAAACGTCTGTAGGAGTTTTCTCCTGCTCTATGTAGAGTACGTCCATGTACACACTTATGTGTCTGATGTGTCATTCACACGCATCTCTGGTTCCAGGAACTGCTTCCTCCTGTTACAGATTCAGGCCAAGGGGTGGTAGCATCTTCCACCAGCTGCCAGGAGCGGGACGTGCTTCTGGAAGGAGTGGGCCCCAGGCGGGCACAGGTCCACTTTCTGAGCCTCACGTTGGCATGTGCTGCAGGTCCCCTACCAGCTCCTCTGGCACTGCTCACCCCCCAGCACCCTGAGGATGGGGGCTTCAGTGCCTGCTCTTTCCCTGGGGCTATTCCTGCAGGCAGGTCGCCACCTCCAGGGGCAGTTGGAGAATCAGCCCCCAGCTCCTCTGCCTTTTGGGTAGGATGGCTCCCAGGGGTGCTCTCCACATCTCCCCGAGGTCTTGGCGGGATTGACAATAACCCACTTGTTCATTGTGCCACGTTGAGGTCCTTCTCTTCCCTCCTCACTCGCCCACTAGCCTCACAGAATTTCCTGGCATCGCTCCCTGTGTGAACTTAGCTCCTTTTGCTTCTGGGGAACCCACATTAGGGTGTCCACTCCTCGTGCCCCAGGGAGGAGGGAGCAGGGCACGCAGCAGAGGGGAGCAGTCTCTCTCCAGTATTTCTAAGAGGGTAGCCATTCCTTTAGGGACCCAAACAAGGATGTGGAGGGGGTCAGGGTGGTCCATACTGCATTAGATGCACTGGCATCCCAGAGGGTATCCGGGTCAACAAGGAGGATTGATCTCCCATGTTTATCTCCTCTCCTTTCTGGAAAAAAACACTGAAATAACCATAAGGGAAGAATAAGGGCACAAATCCACACAGACAAGAAGACTGGGAGAGGAGATATTGGAACACGAGCACTTTAAAGGTGTTTAGAAAGAAGGAAATCGATGGCGGGTTCTGCACTGGCTCTTCACAGCTGGGGAAGGTGGAGGCCGGGCACCGTGATGAGGAGGGATTCTCCACGTGTGCCCACAAAGAGCCCAGGCCCTGGGGCTTCTGCAGAAGGTGGGGCGAGGGCTCTGTGTGACAGTCTGCCAGGTGGTGTTAGGGACAATAGATTCCCTGCAGAGGACATTTAGCTTGTCAACTACCCCCCAAGTGAAAGGACCAGGTGATCGTTCTCTGAAGGGTCAAGCAGAAGCAGCTCCAAATCCAGTGCACGGTGCGAGGCTGTGCGATGGGGAAATACAGAGAACAGGCGGATCAGTGGGTTTCTCCATTTCACGTGGAGGAACCCCTGCCCTGTCCTCCCGCCCTGTTCTCCAAATACAGACACCAGCATAATAGTACTCAGAAATATAGAGGTAAAGGCCAAAAGAAAGGAAAAAGTTGAAAATGCTCTGTCAATGGGGGAGTAGGAGGCTCCTGACTTTCTTTATAACCTTGTAATGCTAATATTAGTTTACTTTTTACCATACGCACGCATTACTTCAATTTCAAAGAACTCCGAGAGGATCTCGGAGTGAATCATGTTCCTCTCACTGAGCTGTAACACCTCCTTCGATGAATGAGACCTGACAGGACTCAGCACTGACTCTCCAGGTGGCTCCGGGCAATTGGCTCCCGGGGCTCCCCCTCACTAGCAAACCACCGGAACAGTCCCAAGATCCAAAAATTCTTGTAGCACAAAATCACAAGGAAAACTGGGGACAGAGGTGTTTTGCTTATATGGAATTAATACGCATGTAGTAGTCCCATGCTCTAACCTCTATGCAGGGATGCAGTTAAAATATGGATCCTGTATCAAAGACCAACTGAGACCGTTCATTTTCTGACCTTCGCGCGAGAACTTGTTTCCATACTCAACAATTTTGAAATCTCACTAAGAACACCTCCTTAAAACCGGGCCTGGCTCGGGGCGGTTTGTTTCAGGTGAGGCAGTCACATCTGTCCTGGGAACAGTGTCCTGTGGAGACAAGGCAGCCACTAGCCCATTAAATGGTAGAAAATAAATAGGATTCCCAGTTCAGTTCCTCCTCTCTCCTTGCTGTAGGACGCAGAAAAACTCAGTCAGGAGTACAGTGTGGATTACACGGATTACTGCATCAGCAACACGAGCTCAGTATCCATCTCTCTGCCCAAAGAGACGAGCAACTTCCGCCCCATCTACAAGGGCGCCTCCACTGCCTTCTGCATCCAGCTGTTTTGTATTGACGAGAAGTACGAAGCAAGGTAAGCGCTGGTCTCCAGTGTGTCTGCCGCGCGAAGACCTTCTCCTGGCCTTGGTGGCCCAACACTGGAAGCCCCACTTCCAGACTCCAGCCCATAAAATTTGGGTCAGACCCACAGAACTGGGCTGCCCAGGGTCTGGAAAATCATCCCTTCCTCAGCCACATGCTGTTCCCCATTCTCTAGAGCTTGCATTTTGGGGGGACTTTGGGTTTAGGTTGCTGCTTGTCTGGAGTCTTTTAGTTGCAAGCAATAGAAAATCCAGCTGAAACTGGCTTTGGAAAAATGGAATAATTGCCTCACGTAAGAAAGGATAATCCAGTGGTGGGACCGACTTTCAGTGTGGCTTGATCTAGGACTTAGTAGATACCCCAGTCACAGGCCAGGCTTCTCACTCTACCCTCTACCCTATTCCTGAGCTGACGGCGGGGGGCCAGGCCAGGCCACAATGATGGCTTTGTCCCTTGCTTTGTGCTCCCCACTGAATCGGGGCTGGAGTCTCAATCTGAGAGGGGTGTTAGCAGGACACCCATCAACAATCCAGGGCAGCTGCCAGAGGTAGGAGGTCTGGTCCCGGGCAGACGAGGCTTCCTGTCCCTCCAGAACAACCCCGTGTTCAGTGCTCGCTGCGCCCTGCAGTCTGGATTGGACCCCTGCCCTCGGTGCCGAGATTCCACAGCCCCTTTGGGATGCCCACATAGTCCACCATTCTGTCCACAGAACAATGTTGAAAAGGAAAGACTGGCCCATTTTGATAGACTGGAAGCTTCCAGAGTATCTTTAAGATGACCAAGAGCACCGCTGGACACTCCCGTTTTAGAGGATGTATTTAATCACATTCCCGTTCTCCTAGCTTTCCTTAGAACCATGCTTTTCTTGGACTTTTATCCTTTCAAGTTTTCGATTTCTTTGGAATTGAAATTCAATTGAAAGGTTGAAAAGGGAAATCTTTTTATTCTAATTATATTGTAGACATCTAAAAAGCCTGTAAACCCTTCTAGATCTGTCGTGTATATTTATTTTCCCCTGTGCATTCGGATAAGATTGTGCTTTTTGAATTTTCAAACAAAAATTTGATGACCCATTATGGTTCGCCTATAAATATACACCTGCAGCTGGTCAGAAAATCTTTTGCATATAAAAGAGAAAAAGATCAGAGTAGCTTATAATATGCCCATGTCTCCCCCGCAGCACCTCCTAAAAGGAAGGGAGGGATCGTGTCCACAGAATGACTATCTTGCTTTTTGAATGTGTAGAGATTTTTAATTGCTATAATAGTACTTTTGGTTCTAGAAAAACACTTCATTACTGACATTTGAAGCTTATGCCTTCTGCAGCTGATTACTGTTCAGTTAGACACAAATTCTGGTTACTGGTTGGCTAATCACTGCCTAAGCGGGGAGAGCCATAGGTCTTTTTAAATGTGCGCTGACAGTTTTTACTGTCTTGTTTACAGGTCACTGGACTTCATGAATTTTGTTTTCAGTCTTTTTCCTGTAAGTACATGTTGAATTTTGAGTAATATAATTGATTTTATAAGCTAGAAAAATGATAAAATAGTAGGATGCCATATTCATTGTCCAAACATTTAATCTGCTATGAATGTTAAGGTTGGAACCACTTCTCTGTTCTGAAAAAAAAGGTTGAATGACATGTCCTGAACTCTTAAAAGTAGAAAAGATTGTCATTTTCAATAATTTTTCAGTCACGCTGTTGTAATAGTTTTCTTTCAATGCATAATTTATTTTAGAGATTGCTTCATCAGTGTCTTATTACAATCAAATCATGAATAGAATGCTGGTAGTACATGAAAATGTCAGGAATTACTCTAAAGTGAGTTAGACGGTTGTATTACTTTATAGTTTGCTTTGGCTCAAAGAATGCTGACACCATTAGATTGCTTTTCTGAGGGTAGGAAAGTGGGAACTTGCAGTTGATCTTCTGGTTGGTGTCGCCTGACACATGGGATTGACTTGACCCTCTACGGTTGGTTGGTGGATGGCCCCAGGCAGGCACACAAGTGCAAACAAGGTTCTCCATCTCAGGTTGTCCAGGCCACCTCCTCCACTTTTGTTTCATGGTCGTCAAGGGATAGAGATTCTGACCAACCTCTCATCACTTTATTGGAGGGAAGAAAGTGGGGCAAGAAGACAATTTAGGTTCCTTAATTGGAGTTTTATGACTTTTTCCATGGCTGGTCTATCAGTTTAGTCAAGTCAAAAACCATGCTTCTTCAGTTAGCTAATTACAGGCAAATTATCTATTTTTTTATTTTTCCTCGATGTTCTTTATACCAAGGCTAAAAAACAAAATAGGTTTAATTCTGTTGCCTGAAAGCTATGTGATCATAGATTGTATTTCCTCATTTTGTTAAGATGATGAAGACTTGGCAATGATGTTTTCCATCGTAATTTTTTTGAATTAATTTTGAAGCTCATAAAACACTGTAGATGACCCTGAGGGAGGGTTTGCAAAGCCGGCTTCCCTCCGAGATGCCCCAAAGTAAATTCAGTAAGTTCAATTCATTCCTATTTTGAAGTCCATGCAGAGACAGATCTTCAGTATTATTACAAAAGCAATGCTGGCTTTAAGGTAGTAAAAGACATGTTTACTTTTTAATTAATTATTTCAGGATATGGGGAGACAGAAACAAAATACCTTCGTTACTTCATCCTTAATCCTTCCCATCCATGTTGAAGCAACTCATTACGTTTATTCTCTTTTATGGCTGAGTAGTATTCCATTGTGTATATATACCACATCTCCTTTATCCATTCATCTCTCAATGGACATTTTGGTTGTTTCTATGTCTTGGCTATTGTGAATAGTGCTGCGATGAACATTGAGGTGCATGTGTCTTTTTGAATTAGAGTTCTGTCTGGGTATATGTCCAGGAGTGGGATTGCTGGATCATATGGTAGGAATTACTCATTTCTCCCAGAGGAAGCCCCCCAGGGCTTGGCACTTGGTCCTTATTTTCAGCTTGAGTATTTTGACAACGTGACTCGCAAGTTCCCCAGAAGGAGCTGTGTTGTTTTGCTAGAAAGAAGGAAGATCAGGTGAAAGAGTGATTCACTCCTTTGGGTTGCACATGTGTCCCCAGGGTTTTGGATTCGCCCAGGCAAGGCCTTCACAGGGTTCAGGAGGAGGTGAGATGCCAAAGGGACAAATTAGCTCTGAGAAGAGCAAGCTGCTTCTGCAGGCACCTGGCAGAGGGTCACGGTGGACGTGAGGAGCACAGACAGTCCATGGCAGCACTGTCCCATAGACAACAAACTCTAAATGTTCCAGCAGCCACATTATAAAAAAAAAGTAAAAAGACACAGGTGAAATCAGTTTTAATAATATATTTTACTTAATGCAATATGTCCAAAATTTAATGATTTTAATATGTAATCAGTATGCAAAAGTATTAATGAGATCTTGTACATCCATTTTCTCAGTTTTTAAAATCCAATGTGTATTTTACATTTAGGGCACATCTCTATACGAGCACTAAATTGTCATCAGAAATCCTCACTCTGCTTCTAGAATTTGTAAAATTTACAGTGGAATGAGTAGATTCACATACCCAAATTGTTCTAAACATACATAAAACTTTTCCAATAACTGAACTGAGTATCAGGTTTTATTTTATTATTTTTTTCTTTTCCATTATGGTTTATTATAGGATATTGAATGTAGTTCCCTGTGCTATACAGTAGGACCTTGTTGTTTATCCATTCCATATGTAATAGTTTGCATCTACTAACCCCAAACTCCCTGTCCAACCTTCCCCCACACCCCCTTCCCCGTGGCAACCATAAGCCTGTTCTCCATGTCTGTGAGTCTGTTTCTGTTTCATACATAGGTTCATTTGTGTCACGTTTTAGATTCCACGTATAAGTGATATCACTTGGTATTTGTCTTTCTCTTTTTGACTTACTTCGCTTAGTATGATAATATCTAGGTCAATCCATGTAGCTGCAAATGGCATTATTTTGTTCTTTTTTATGGCTGAGTAGTATTCCACTGTGTATATATACCACATCTCCTTTATCCATTCATCTGTCAATGGACATTTCGATTTTTTCTATGTCTTGGCTATTGTGAATAGTGCTACAGTGAACATTGAGGTGCATGTGTCTTTTTGAATTAGAGTTTTGTCCGGGTATGTGTTCAGGAGTGGGATTGCTGGATCATATGGTAGCTCTATGTTTGTTTACTTTTTTGAGGAACCTCCATAATGTTCTCCATAGTGGCTGCACCAATTTACATCCCCACCAACAACGTAGGAGGGTTCCCAAGTATCAGTTTTGAAATGTAAATTTAATCAAATGAAATAAAATTAAAAATTCGGTTCCCCAGTCTCACTAGCCACATTCCAAATGCTCGGTGGCCAGACTCAGCTCCTGGCCAGCATATTGGACAGCACAGATACAGGTCAGGACACGCAGATCCCACTGCCCAGGTTAACCAGCCCTTAGATCTCATCACCCAAGTGGGACTGTGCCCTGATAAAATGCACAGACATCCATTGATGTGTAATCACAGGACTTTAGAGCAGAAAAGGCCTGGAGCACCACGCTCTCATCTCACAGAGGTGGGGACCACGGCTGGCGGCTGGTGCAGCATTACTTGGTAAATGCAGGGCCTTTGCCATGATACTGAGCAGCCTCATCACTCCTGGATACAAGTGAATTTGCAAATGCAAACGTCCTTAGTTTAAAACTGTACTTCTGGAAAAGAGCTGTGCTGAATGGGTCCTGTGATTCACAATATGCCTTTATTCGGGTTTCAGTCAAACACAGATATTTTCTCCATATTCTTTTTTTTTTTTTTTTGCGGTATGCGTTCCTCTCACTGTTGTGGCCTCTCCCGCTGCGGAGCACAGGCTCCATACACGCAGGTTCAGTGGCCATGGCTCACGGGCCCAGCTGCTCCACGGAATGTGGAATCTTCTCGAACCGGGGCACGAACCCATGTCCCCTGAATCAGCAGGCAGACCCTCAACCACTGTGCCACCAGGGAAGCCCTTCTCCATATTCTCGCAATTGCTTATCCCCTGAATTTTCTGATTACTTTCCAAATGATAGGAATCTTTAACTTGAATACCATCTCCTTTACACATTTTACTCCTATTTAGTGTTTTATGGCAGGAATTTGTTTAGTGATAAATGATTTGTATCTGGTCTCCAATCACTCCAGGACAAGAACTTCTGCATCATTTCTCTGCCACATCTCACCCCTGAGTTTGCCCTTATACAGAACTTCGTGAAGATTGTCCCCTTCAACAACTGCACCCTGGACCAGGACCTCTACGTCTTCCATCGGGCAGGATTGCTCAAGTAAGCAGATGCGCGTTTGTCCAAAAGATAGTCCATGAAATTTAAAAAAGAGAATGGAACAGGAGCTCCATGACATTTTAATTTAATGATTTATTTTTAAAATTGTCTTATTGGTGGAGGACTTGATCAAGTGATTTTAACCAGTCCATTTAGGGGAAGAGTCATGGTGAAAGTTGCTGGTCCAGTCAGATATTAGAGCATAATCTAACTCCAAAATAGTCAGAACAATAGCCATGTTGACATTTCTATGGCTGGAACAAGGTAACACAAGAAAGAGTCCCACCGCAGACCCCAATAGAGTAAGAATTGAACGTGTTGTCTGTGTGTAAAGGTATTATAGACTGATGTATATGATGGCATTTGTGTTACAGTGAGAAAAGGAAGGATTATTTTGTAAATGGTGGGACAAAATAAAGACAGAAATGTTCTTCATATTCTACAGTAAAATAGATTCCCAAGTGATCGAAGAGTTAAATGTAGATATTGCAATAGTTAAAAATTAGAAACTGTTACCTACAGTGCTAGGTTCTGGGCCAGATTCTGAGAATACAGCAGTGAACAGCCTACTGGTTGTCCCACATCCTTTCAAAGCTTATAAACACTCCTGCAAAAGTAAAACTGCATCTGTGATGGGTGTACCAGCAGTGGGTCTGTGGGACTATGGAGACGTATCATTGGGAGATTCAGCCCAGTCAGAGGAAGCTTTCCTGAGGAAGGACGCTGAGTTCTAGACAAGGAGTGTGAGTGAAGATTGAACTTGATTGTGCCTCAGGATGGGGAAGGTCTTTTTAGAACATGGAAGAAAAAAATTAAGGTTTTTTTTTTTTTTTTTTTTTTTACTATATGAAACTTCAGAACCACTCTAATTTAATTAAAATGCAGCTGACTAGTGGAAGGATATTTTTAACAAATATAACAGACACAAGGTTGGTATATTTTATATATAAAGAGGTTTAATAAATCAATTAGAAGGCTATTTAACACCAAAATAGAAAAACTAACCCCCCCACACAAATGGCCAGACTGTTTGCATATGAAAGAAACAAAAAATCAGTGGGTATTAAGAAATCTTCAAACTTATTACTAATAAGGGAAAAGAAACAAAAGCAAGAATGAGACATCATTTTTGGTCAGTTGGCGAGAATTAGAATATAGAAACATTCAATTCTAATGAGAAAAATGTAACTCTTGTCAGAATGTAAATAGACATAAAATTTCAAAGGGCAGTTTGGCCAGAACATTAAGGTAGTTTATATTTTTTCACTCTTTACTTCCACTCCTAGAAACATATCCTAAGAAACTTGTTGCAGAGATGCAAACAAAAATTTACATCTGAGGATTAAAGAACATTGGAAATACTCCAAACATCCAGTAGTAAGAGAATGTTTAAATACTTTATGGTACCTATAGGAGTAATCTATAAGTATGCTTACAGTTCATTTTAAGACTATCTAATGATTAGAAAATGCTCAGAATGTAATATTAGGGTAGAAAACCTATCAAATAAAACAGCATTTAAATATGACCAAAATTTCTAAAGAAGGAAAAAAATGCATGAACAAAGTAGACTAAAAGGACACGTGCAGATGTAGTTCATGCCGCCCAGGCCCCCTCGTTCAGGACTAATTTCGCACCTGCGGGATGTGTGGGCACCACCAGCTCAAAGCTGGGTCCCCTGCCGAGGAGACTGCCCTGGACAGAAGAGAGGGCTTTGCCCAAGGTCCACCCTCCTGAGGGCAGCCTGCATCCAGCAACTAGTCTGTGTGTGTGGAGCGAGGGGAGGGACACCTCTGAAGGGTCTTCCCAGGGCCAGGACGCCCCGAGGTGTCAGCTGGGCATTTGTTGTGACCCCGTGGCTTGCAGTCCGTCTTCACCTCTTCCCCGACCTGCCCTGCCCCTCCCCAGAGGTGTGGAGGGTCCCAGGAGCCACCCTCATCACCCCCAGCAGGCAGATCTCTGTGTGAGGCTGCCTCCTGGGGAACCCGGCTAGCGGCGCTAGGCGCTAGAGATGGCCTGTGATTGCCTCGGGGTGGTAGGAGGACTGTCATGGGTGATTTTTAATTTCCTTTCTCACATTGCCTAAATTTTGGAATTTTCCTATACCAACCTTGGATATAGCAAGTGGTTGAAACCCATCAAATAGGCTTAAGTAACTGGAGAATTTATTACTACATAGAAGCAAGGGAAGACTCCGAGGGCAATTCAGGTTCCATACGTGGATTATTAGCCCTGTTGGATCTATCTCTTCCGAGTTGACCCCTTCTCAGACACAGTGGTTGCGGGACGAGTGAGGTAGCTCCAGACCCTTTATCACTTAAGTCCACCAGGTGAAGAGTGGTGGGGATGCTTCTGTTCAGAAGCCCCAACACAGCAGTCTTACTGCATCTCAGTGGCTCAGATTGGCCCTCTGCTGGCTGACTTTGAACCCATCATCGGGGCAGAGGCTGCTGGTTGGCATCCTTGGGTCTGGTCCCAAAGCTCAGGGCTGGGTGGGGGAGGGGTGCATCACCTATACAAATGTGGAGGCTTTTCTGGAGAAATGGGCAATGGAGCTGCTCCCCACACTTCCATCTTGGAATAGGACCAACTCGATCAATAGAAAGTGAACAGTAGATCTATTACAGGAACAATGTCAATACCGTCCATTTTCTATAATTTAACTTTTTCAAGCTGTCTTATTCACATAGTCTCATTCTTACAAAATATTATGGAGCTCATCAAACTGTGCATTTAAAATGGTTATATTTAATTGTATGTAAATTATGCCTCAGTAAAGCTGTTACAAAATCTTGTGGCAAAGGGATTGGTAGAGTAGTTTCAGAGAACTTTCTCTATAATTGATATATTAGCCTTTTAAGTGAAACTTTGAGGAACCTTCTAAATGATCACTTTATAATTGGGGAATGGTTAAATGAATTTTGGCATATTCATTCAGTACATTATTATGCAGATTTTGAAAAAATAAAAACAGATCTATATCATACTGTATGGAATAATAGCTGGGATGGTGAGAAAAGCAAGGGTCAGATGATAATAGTAATAATCGTAATGACAGCTTACATTTATGGAAGGTTTGTAGTGTTTCAAGGACTTTCTTAATCACTTTCCATGTGTCTTTACGCACAGTGACCTTATTAGCTAGATACCATTATTATTATCCCCATCTTACAGGTAAGGAAACTGAGACACAGAGAGGTTAAGTAACTAGTCCAAAATGCACACAGCAGAAAGTAGCAGAGCTGGAACTGGAACGAAGGCAGCCGGCTTCCAGAGCCAACTCATAACTGCCTCACGTATTGCTTCCTATGCTGTGTTTTCAGCGTAAGGCTGTTGTAGCAGAGAGACCCTAAAGCACAGTGGCTTGAGCCAGAGGACAGTTCCGCCTCTACCACACAGTGGTCCAGACAGGAACAGGTGGTCTAAGGAGAGTCATGGCTTTTCGCCACAAAGCTGTCCAGGGACCCAGTTACTCCTCTCATTGCTCCTCCGTCTCATAGAGCAAGGGTCTCACCTACTGTCTGTGTGGAGAGTCAGGGGTCTGCGAATTTGGATGGGAAGAAAAATTACATCTTTCTGTTACTAACCTCTGATTGAAGTTTGACGTGTCCTTCCACTGTGAATGGAGGCAACAAACCTCAGAAGTGTCAGCGAAGCCGTGACTTTGTAGCCCGTGGAAGTCACGGATATTCTCCTGTCACCTTACGGTTGTCGCAGATGTCTCAAAACATGGATGCTCATCATACTTTGAAATTTCAGTAAATTTATTCTCAACCAAAACTTGTTACTTGATGCATTGATGAGGAGGCACAGATATTACCAAAACACACATTTTAAAAAACATTTTGATAGCTCTACTCGATATAATTTGTTGTCTTTGATTTTACACGTTGAAAAGCATCCGTCTGAGAAGGGGTCCCGAGCATCCCCAGGCTGTCAGAGGGGCCCATGGGGCACACAGGTGTTAGACCGCCGTCAGAGTGAGCTCTTTTCCTCTTGGTGCTGTGAGCCGGCTTGGGGCACCGTAGTCACATGTTAGCCACGGGGAAGGGTGCAAAGAGAAAGGGAGGGGAAGACTGTCCTCTTACGGAAGTTACATCACTTCTTGTCACAGTCTGTGCTCGGGAAGTTGGTTGCATGGCCCTGCCGAGCCGCGGGGGAGGCCGGGGGACAAGTTGCTGGAGGGTCAGATGTGCGCCCGGCAAAAACTCAGTTGACTCAGTTATTAAAAGGGAGAAGGGGAGAGGGAAACTGGGGGACCATCGTATCTAGTTTTTATCTTGCATATGTAAAGATGTTCTAGAAGGGTCCACGGGAATTTATTAACCTTTTGCGCTTCTGAGGAGCAGGACAGAGACGTGAGGGGTGTAGATGGCGACGTACTCTTTGCTTTATGTCTGTCGGTTCCGTTTGATTTTTTTCATTAATAAACTTTATTTTTTAGAGCAGTTTTAGGCTCACAGTACAACTGAGCAGAAAGTGCAGAGGGTTCCTACAGACCCCTTCCCCAGTCCCCCCAAAGACTCTCCCACAGTTAACATCCCACACCAGAGCGACACCATTTGTACCATCAAGGAACCTACAGGGACTCACCATTATCAACCGGAGTCCACAGTTTACATGAGGGCTCACTCTTCTGTTGTACACTCTCTGGGTCTGGACAAATGTGCAATGACGTAGCCACCACCATACTATCATACAGAGTAGTTTCTAAAAATGCCCTCTGCTCCCCCTATCCATCCCTCTCTCCTTCCCCACAGCCTCTGGCAACCACTGGTCTTTCTCCTGTCCCCATAGTTTTGCCTTTTCTAGAATGTCATAGTTGGAATCCTACAGTACGTGGCCTTTACAGATTGGCCTCTTTCAGTTAGTAATGAATATTTTAATGTTCCTCCATGTCTCTTCGTGGCTTGATAGCTTAATTTCTTTTTAGCCCTGAATAATATTCCTTTGTCTGGATGGACCACATTTTATTTATCCAGTCACTACTGAAGGACAGCTTG